GTGTCAGCAGGTGTCAGCAGGTGTCAGCAGGTGTCAGCAGGTGTCAGTAGGTGTCAGTAGTGTCTACCTTTAGTTGCAGCTTCAGTCTCAGACTTCCTCACAGGTTTCTGAGCATCTGGAAAATATTTTTCAAAACCTGAAGAAATAAAACACAGATCACTGTAGAGACTGAATTGGTTCTTAGAAAACTAGAAAATGCAGTTTGTACCTTTTGGGGGTTTGGAGCTCTGATTCCTGTACGCTCCCAGCAGCTCCGTCAGCAGGCTCCGCCCACTGTCTACCTGTCCAGCTGTGGTTGAGCACATCACCTGACCAACACACATCCAACATGGCTGACATCACACAACAACAGCTCGAGGTTGACATTAATTCATATCAACCATTTCTAAACACTGAGTCACAACGTGACGTCATTCAGCCAATCAGGGCAGAGTTGTGTCTGACTGCAGTTGAACATCTGTCTGAACTTCTGTCTGACTGCAGCCCAATTCATGCCACTGCGTTGAAGCTACGTCGTAGCTGCGCATGTAGCCTTCGCACGGGATCCAGGCATTCATAGTTGTGGGTAGGTGTGTGTGAACTGAAACACTAGTGGCAGCAGAGTTTCTATGCTGGTGTTGAGTGTCTCCTTTACATTAAATTGAGCTGAACCTTTTATCCAAAGTGACTTACAATAAGTGCATCAACCATCAACCCAGAAATTTGTTTTTGTTCTTCACCAAGATGTAGTCTGAAGACATGTGTCTTTAGTCTGATGGAAGATGTGGAGACATTTTGTCCTGTTGTCAATGTGGAGCTCGTTCCACCATTTAGGAGCCAGGACGACAAACAGTTGTGATTTAGTCGAGGGGTTAGCTCGCAGTGAGGGAGCAGCTGATTGGAAGATGCAGAGCAGAGTGAACAGGCTGGGGTGTAAGGTTTGACCATGTCCTGGATGTAGACTGGACCCGATCTGTTCACTGCACAGTACAAGTACTAGTGTACCTGCCAGATGCTGGCAGCCACTGGTAACCAGTGAAGGGAGCAGAGGAGTGTTTGTGAACTTAGGTTGAAGACCAGTCGAGCTGCTGCACTCTGGATGAGCTGCAGTGGTCATTAGCAGGTAGACCAGCCAGGAGGGAGGTGCAGGTCTCCTGGTTTGTGCTCCGCTTATTTACAAACTCTCGGGCTTCTTTACTTCAGAACAAGAGTGTTAATTACCTCTGTATTCGATACTTCAACTCAATTCAATTAAAAAAAGAGATGCAACACTACCATGGGGACCAGTAACAGCTCTTTCACTCATTACATTTTTTGGGGGGTGCAGGTCAGTGTACGGCGAAGGGCTCTGCGTAGAATATTGTGAACAAACATGAATTGGGTTAACCAGCATGCATCACGTTACATCAGCACCCAACTGTCTGCGGCCCTGTGGTTCTTCCTTTATTTTTCACGTAACTATGTAAAATGCCTCTTGAATCAAACTAGTGACTGTGGTAATAGATCACTGATAATAATAATATTATTCTCAGTTGTTTCCGGCTCGGGAGGCTTGTCACAGCTGAGGTCACCGGAGGTGAGACCGGTGCTTGTTGGTCTGTCGGCCGATCTGCGGGGTCCCTGTTCGGGCTTGTTTTGGCCCGCTGTCCCGGTTAGCACAGTTAGCATATTAGCACGTTTTCGATCACCTACCAGCCTGGCCGGAGCGTTGGAGGGCAGCAGCAGCCGGAACATGCTCCTGCAGGCCGCGGACAGCCGCAGGTAGCGATGGGCCATCCTCCCCCGGTCACACAGCGACACTGACCGGCAAAAAACTACCGCAACAACCGTCACACGCGACTCAACTTCTGTGTTTCTGTCCCTTCGTCTGCCTGTTCCGCCATCTTTCCGTCCCCTGCTTCTTCACTGACGGTCACATGTTCTGAGAGGCGACACCGCCCCCTGCTGCTCTCGTTATAGTTACAGTGTGTTTTTAACATGTTCTCATGTGACTGACACGTGTTGTTCATAAATAACTGTTAATCGATGATAAACATGTTCATCATCTTATTATTACTGATCACAGCTGATGAGCTCTTCGTGACGTCTCCTTCCTCCTGTTGACATTAATAAAATGTCCACTGTATTTTTTTTGGGGGGGGGGGGGTGTTACTACCTGCCATAGCTACCAGCAATCGGCAGGTGTCGCCCTCCCTGCTCCAGTTGCATGCCGGGTAGTGGATGATGGCTGAGAGCTGTGTGGAGGAATGAAGCGGCTGACCGCTGCCTGTCTCCCGGCTGAAGCGCGCCCTGTGCGGCCTCAGGTGTTTGAGTGCAGCGGAGCTATGAGGTAAACACGCGGCACGGGTCACCGCTTCACTCGACTTTAGCCCGGCTTTAGCCCGGCTTTAGCCCGACCATAGCCCGGCCAGTTAGCAGCTTATCCGTAAACGCTGCCGGAGGAAGGACAGACCGATGCTAACGTGCTAACAGACCAACACCTGTTAGCTTGGTTTACACTCTGTTTTAACGTACGTTAGCATGTGGCATCAGTTAGCTCCACCGTGTCTGAGTTCATGCTACTGTTAGCCCTGTTAGCCGGGCTGCTAACTGACAGCCGGCTAGCATTAGCATGTGAGACACCTGGTTAGCCTCAACACACACACGGTCGAGGCATCGCTTCAATCATGACGTCATCATACTCACATGGCATTTATATTGACGTCACTGTGTCAGCGCATGGGAGGGTTAACTTCCCGGCTAGATGCTAACATTAGCATGTGGGCTCAGGTCAGCTGACTTGGGGTGGGGGGTAGACAGGAAGTGTGTGAGCAGTGGTCAATCATAAATAAAATCATCATAAATGTTGATGTGGTCACACACACACACACAAAGTGACACACACACTCTTACAGCAACAGACACAGCGACACACACACACTCTCACAGGCACAGACACACACAGACTAATCATCTGTTGCCTGCCCCACGTTGGGCGCACAGTGTTTTTTTGGGGCAGCAGTAGCTCAGTCCATAGAGACTTGGCTTGGGAACCGGAGGGTGGCCAGTCCAAGTCCAGCATGGACCAAAAAGTATGGAAGACTGGAGAGGTGGCTGGAGAGGTGCCATTTCACCTCCTGGGCACTGCTGAGGTGCCCTTGAGCAAGGTACCGAACCCCCCAATTGCTCGAAGGGCGCTTCTCCCATCACTTTTCCACCTCTCTCCACATCTGCATGTCTATGAGCCCTTTGTGTGTGTGTGTGGGACTGTGTTTCAGGGTTAAAAAAACTGCATGTATAAAAATGAGTGTAAAAAGAATCAATAAAGTATTTTTTTTATCGTCTTCTCTGCAGGAGAACTGAACTCTTGCCTCCAGGCGTCCTGGTTGTTGGACTATGCTGTGTTTGCCCACTGGGTGGCGCCTCCTGAGCCAAGCTCACCGCCTCCCTCACTCCCGGCCCCGCCCCGCTGCTCAGTCCATCACCATGTACGCCACCCGCCTCTACAGCACTGCGGGGGGAGGAGGAGGGGGGGGAGGTGGGGTTAAACAGGGGAGAAGGGCAGGGCTGGCCATGATCGAGGCACCCCACCCTCCTCACCCCCCTCACCCGACTCCACCTCCCCCTGCCTACCACCTGTACCAGGGCCGCCCTGACACCCACAGAGGGGCACACTTCCACTACCACCCACCACCCACCCACTTGGCCCCATCCCCATTCTCCCCCCACTACCAGCACCACGCACACTTCCACACATATGGAGGGGGGGCTCCAGGGGGCGGGGCCTCTGCCCCTGGTAACAAGAAGAAGACGTGGAACTTCATCCACGAGAAGATGAGCTACGACACGTTCTTCACCATGAAGCGCCTGATTGAGCGTTCGCGCCGTCCTGACGAGGTGCTGCGCTGGGTCACCCAGAACCCGGCCAAGATCTCCCACAACCACTACCCCGTCGCCCTGCAGAAGATCGGACAGCTGCTTCAGGCCACACCATCACCACGAACCGGAGGGGACGACACAGAAGCCTCGGCATGTGGAGGAGCCGAGGGGGGTGACGAACGCCAGATCCTGGAGCATCAGGACTTTCAGACGCTCTGTAACGCCATCGTCAACGACTGCGCCAAATTTGACAACTTCAGCATTGTCAACTGTTTGTATGCTGTGGCAGCACTTGGTGAGCGACATAGTGTTTGTGTCATCAGCAGAGGTCATGTGACTTCACACACATCAGGGGGGTATTCCATTAAAGTAGCTAAACTAATTCTGGCTTAAGTGAAAAAGCTAAAGCTAAGAAGCTAAATTAGCTTCAATTTGAGGCTTAAGCCATTCCACTAACACACTTAATTAAGGCTGGTTCGATCCAGGCTTTAATAAACCAAGCTTTAGTAAACCAAGCATTAGTAAACCAAGCATTAATAAACCAGGCTCTAGTAAACCAGGCTATAATAAACCGAGCTTTAATAAACCAGGCTCTAGTAAACCCAGCTTTAGTAAACCAGGCTATAATAAACCAAGCTTTAGTAAACCAAGCATTAATAAACCAGGCTTTAATAAACCAAGCTTTAGTAAACCAGGCTCTAGTAAACCAGGCTATAATAAACCAAGCTTTAATAAACCAGGCTTTAATAAACCCAGCTTTAATAAACCAAGCTTTAGTAAGCCAGGCTTTAATAAACCAGGCTTTAGTAAGCCAGGCTTTAATAAACCAGGCTTTAGTAAACCAAGCTTTAATAAACCAAGCTTTAATAAGTGAATGTGAGAGTTAGTGCACCAGAGGAGGATTATACGAGCACATGTGAAAAAATGAAGTGATGAGGAGGGAGTGACGCCACAGACAGAAGAGAAGATTCTTAGCACTGATCTCACAGACTCAGCTAAATGTCAGGATTAGTTTTAGAAGCTGCAGAATTGATTTCAAACTGTTTCACATGTGCTGTTAATCTTTCTCCACATTGTTTTCATTGAATAGATGAATTGTCAGATCACTAGAGTCAGACTGGAGCTGAAGCTGTATCATATCAGATATGTTTGAAATCCAATTTACTGTGAATGACTCGGAGGAAGTTTGTGTGAAGCCTCTGACCAAATAAACTTTATTCTCAACAATCTGAACACAAACAACATAAAGTACAAATACTTTACAGAGTATTAAGTCGCCTCTAATGAAAAGTGAAGAGTGTTTTAAATACAAGTAAATATGAACCTTTTATCTTAAAAAAGATGCCACAGCCACTAGAGGGCGACGTCCAACTGAGCCCTTACAACTGCAGAGGAGCTGGAATAGAGGGGGGGCACATCTGTGATGGGGGGGGCTCTATGTCCAAGGTTTTGAGTTGTGAGTCTCACGATCCTCACTGACACTAGTCTTTATGTCTCAGTGAGACACTAGTCTTTATGTCTCAGTGAGACACTAGACTTTATGTCTCAGTGAGACACTAGTCTTTATGTCTCAGTGAGACACTGTGTTACTATAGATCAGAACTAAACTAACCGATCTGAGAGAGATGTGAGCAGCCATGTTTGTGGCATGACTTGATCAGTCGTTAAGGTGGTTAATAAAAGGTAGAAAAACCTTTTCAGGACATTGATCTTCTACCTTTGTCACTGCTCATCTCGCCTGTCGACATACAGGTCTTTCCAGTGACGCTCAGGTGGTCCACGTGTTGGAGGCGGAGTCTCAGTCCCGACTGAGCCAGTTTAACCAGAAGGACGTTTCCATGGTGTTCAGCTCCAGTATGAAGCTTCACCCAGGAAGTCAACACCCGCTGACCGAGGCCTGCCTGACCGGCCTGGAGAAGAACCTGGAGAGAGAGCGCCACCCGCAGACGCTCTTCTTATTGCTCTCATATTACAGACTCAAGTGGCGCTCGCTGCAACAGCAGGAGCCCACTGCTGCTGCAGGGGGCGTTGCAACCACCACTACTAAAACCAACAACACGCCCCCAAACCCTGAACTACTGCTTGCCAACAGGTGAGAACACCTGCTGAACGTGATGTTCACGTCGTTGCACTGTGTCAGTCTGATAATTGCTAACTCTCCGGCTCTTGTCTGCAGGAAGATCTTACGTCTCGTTAAACACACTTTGGCGAGTGTCAGTGGCGTTCGCGACCAAGAGATGGCCCTGTTGGATGAGATGTTGGCAGCGTGTGCTAGAGAGGCGAGCAACAAGAGTCTGGAGTTGATCTTCAGTTCCCACCTGTTCTACCAGAACCGACAGGAGAAGTTCATCAGCAGCCTGGCAGGTAAAAATCTGACCACAATCAATGTTTCACCACCAACAAGCACACGACACTGATCACTCACCAGATCCATCACTGCTAAAGAACTCAACGTGAACATGTGACCCATTCTCTCTGTCAGAGGAGCTCCCCAAGAAGGTTGACAGCATCACGCCTTACACAATGGCTCTGATTGCCAAATACATCGCTCGCCATCGACTGAGAGAAACCCGGCTGCTTGACACCATCGCAGACTTCTTGGTGAAGAAGGCGGAATACCTGGACAGTAAGGTAAGGACAGGATGGGTGGTCGTGTGATCTTTAGTTCCTGTGGATAGGACTCAGGTGTGTCCGTCTATGTTGTCAGGTGATCCAGAAGCTGGTGTTCCCATTCAGCAGGATGAGTTACCGTCCATCCAATGAGCAGCAGTTTTTCTCTGGCTTGGAGGAGGTGCTGGAGCTGAAGGCTCTGAGTTCACCACTCGCAACCGTCAACATCCTCATGTCTCTGTTCCAGTTGGGTCATTTCCCCGGCCTGGTGCTGCACCGTGTCTTCTCCTCTGCCTTCATCAGCAATGTCACCAGTCAGTAAAACACCTAACCAATCACAACATTAGATCCAACGTTTCATTCTCAAATACGTGTTTTAAAATATCACAGAAGCTGGAGAGGAAGTGGCGTTCCACCAGTCAGCATGACTTTCACCGAGCCTGGAAGGATCGCCTGATGAATCACAAGAAAGCTCCCAGAAATGCCAGAACCTCTTATTATTCATTATTAATAGAAGAAAATCAGAACCAGCCCAGGTCCTCTTCAGCTCTGTAGCCAGGCTGACAGAAAGTCACAGCTCTACTGACCCATCTATTCCTCTAACTCTGAGAAGCAATGATTTCATGAGCTTCTTCACAAATCAAATTATAACCATCAGGGATCAGATCCACCACCTCCTCCCCATGAAGAGCACAGATACATCGTCTGGTCCTGGAACCATAGAACCAGATTTATGTTTGAACCATTTCTCTTCTGTTGACCTTCTGAACTGACTGATTAGTTTCATCATGTAAACCAACCACTTGTCTTTTAGACTCTGTCCCAACTGGACTTTTTAAGGAAGTTTCCCCCTGATTGACAGTTCCATATTAAATCAGATGATCATGTCTTTGGCAACATCATCAGAAAGCACCACATACACTTCCATTGTTACGCAGACGACACCCAGCTGTACATTTCTATGAAGCCTGATGAATCGAATCACTTTGTTCAACTTCAGGAACGTTTCAGGTCATTGCAGAGACCTCACAGGTCTCTCTCTGAGTTAAGAGCCTTGAGATAATGTATATTATGATTTGATGATATACAAATAAAATAGAATTGAACATGTCTGCCCAGTCACATGTCAACACATCCCTGTGTCTCCACAGACAGTCCCTATGCTGTGATCGTCCGGAGGTACCTGTCTCTGCTGGACGCCGCCATCGAGCTGGAGTACCGCGACTACACCGGACCACGACTGCAGGAGACGCACAAAGTACTGATGTTTGACCACGCGCTGACTGCTGACGAGGTCAACCGCAAGTACAGGTACCACACACACACACACAGGTACCACACTCAGGTAATACACACATGTACAGGTACCACACATGTACTACACACCTGACAGATACCACACACACAGGTATGGTTCTAACTGGTTCTAACTGGTCCTGACTGGTTCTGTATGGTTTGTCCTCTGTCAGTTATAAAGGTCTGGTTGCTGAAGCTTTACGTCAGCTGGTTGGAGAACAAAACTACAAACAGGATGAAGTGCTCCCTCCAGGGTACTACACAGGTACTACACACACTACTACATACTGTGTACCACACACAGAGTACTACAGGCATAGTATTATACAGGTACTACACTTAGTACTGCAGTACCTGAAGTACCTGTAGTAACGTGATCACCTGACTGTCTCCAGACTTCGTGCTGTGGATGGACAGTTCTGGTCGGGTTCTACCCATCAGACCAGGAGCGGCGCTGTCCTTGACTGTTGTTCCTTCATCCTGCGTCGCTGTTGCATCTAAACCTGTTGACGGCGCAGTTACCGTGGTGACTTCAGAGTTCCAGAGGTTTTCTCCATTTGCGGTGCTAGAGGAAGGTGGCGAACAGCAGTGTCAAGTGGGCGAGGTGATGGGTGGGGCCATGGAACCCATGTCCTTCCTGCCTCAACACATCCGCAGCACAACGGGGGCCACGCTGTCCTCGGGAGCCCCTCGGCCCACCAACGGCGGCCCCTTGGACTACGCCCCCTACTTTGTCCCTGCAGCAGAGTACTACGCCAGTCTGGCCAAGGAGCACTCACTGGAGAGCCAGGACAGCTCCACGCTCAGCAGCCCCCCCTCTGATGGATTGGCCCCGTCTGGGGTTCCAGGACCTGTCGAGACCACAGCCCCTGACTCTCTTTTCCAGTTCTCTATTGGGAAAATCCTGGAGGACGAGGGGGGAACTGGGGCCCCTGAGAGCCAGGGGACAGACTGTGAGTTGCCGGGGTTCTATGAGGGCGTGACGTATTCTGAGGTGTCAGGGGCCGACAGAGGGCCCTCATCACCACCACAGCTCCACCCCCCCGATCAACCAGAGCCTGATAACCCCCCGACTGACCAGAGACCGATTAGGAGGTCAGTCCACGAGTCCTAGTACACACATTGACTGACTGACATACGTGACCTCATACTGAAACAGGTGACATACAAACAAAGGTGATATACATGACATCCCAAAACATGTGATATACCGAAACACATCATCTCGTACCTAAACACGTGACAGACACGTGACCTCGTACAGACACACATGACCTCATAGCCACACATGCAACCTCATACTGACACTTGACAGACACATGTGACCTCATACTGACGCACGTGACATAGCAATGTGCGTTACCTCATGTCACGTGACCTG